CCATGGGGGGGGGGGGGGGCAAAGTATTAAAATACCAAGTTAGTCATCACAGTTTGTAAAAGATTAAAGGAGAAAATATCCTAAAAAACGCTGTAGAATATCACATAGGGAGGAAGGAGAGAGTGACACGGACTCATCAGTGCAGGTAGTAGACAATAGTGATATCAGTGCTCTCAGAACATCTTTTTTTCCAAGTATTAAGCCATCAAGTAAAAGATGGGTTTGGAACTAAAACCATGAGATTGTTTTACCTATAATTTAGATAGTCTTGATGTACTCTCTAGACTCTAGTTATATCAAATGGAGTTGCAGAAATTTTTTACTTTAAAAACTGTCTTCTCAGAATTTTCTTATTGTTTGAGGCCAATAAATTGGTACGGCACATTCTTAATCAATAAAATGGATGCATTGGTCTAAGTTTGTAACATATAAATAATCTCCAAGATCAGACAGGATGCAATGACAATATAATACTTGATTGGAATTTACCTGAGGAAATAGGAACACCTTTGTAGCACAATCAGAGAACAGTAAGTTGAACACGACATTGTTGACTTTCTGTAAAATAGAGCATATTTCTGCCACTAATCCAACAAGTGATTCCAAGTTCTGGCTTGTAAACAGCAATGTCTTAAGAGGATAATCTGCAAGCTCAGATATGGTAACTCCTTTGTTATCCTTGCAGTCATATACAATGATAACTGGAAGAAGTTTCACCGGTAAAGGGTTTGCAAAGCAAGCAGCCTGTTCCACAGGTAGCAACAAACTGTCAGGTTTTTGGTTTAATATTAAAATGCAATAGTCTTTAACTGCCATAAAGAAAAAGAAAAAGAAAAAGAAATAGGGAGGGAATTCCTATGATATGGTATAGTGTGTATATCATGTTTTGTTGGTCAAACATAAAATTACCCAAGGGAGGGAATTCCTATGATATGGTATAGTGTGTATATCATGTTTTGTTGGTCAAACATAAAATTACCCAGACTCAGCTTATTCCTATTTCTTACATAGTGTGTATATCATGTTTTGTTGGTCAAACATAAAATTACCCAGACTCAGCTTATTCCTATTTCTTACCTGTCCTCAATGCCGTGCTCGGCATTATGAATCCTATAAGAATAGTTTTGTAATAACATCCTATATCATAAAAGGTTTCTCAAAGCCCTCCTTAAAAAAAATTCATCCTTGTTCTCTTAGGTCTCTCCTTCCACTATTCTCAAAAATATTTTCTAAACACAAATCTGAAAAGTGTGTGTTCAGAATCTGTACAAATCCGAAAAATATTTTAGCCACCCAGAGTCGGCAGAAAAGCTATTGCATATGCACAAGCATTATTTGTTTAATGGTGTAGGGATTATGCCATACTACTGAATTTTACCTATTGCATATGCACAAGCATTATTTGTTTATGTAACATAAACAGAATAGTCAATCATATCTGTACACAAAATATGAGGAAAGAAACATGGAATTCGCTAAATGTTTAGTATAAAAACATGCCTAGAACAATCATAATTATTAGTAAGTAATGAAAATGTGGAAGTTTGAGAGAAAGATTAGAGTAAACCTTTTGAGTCATGTACATGTCAATTATTTGCTTGTACATCTTTTGATTGGACCTCCTATGACATTGTGTCGTATATTTTCCAAAATTCA